TGTTAACTACGTATAATACGTAGTACCTAACAAAATTGTCTCGATAATCTTATCGTAATAACCGTTACATGATGTCAATCACAAATTAGGTAGGTAGTTATAAAATATCTTAAGGTATTCACAGTCATAATATAGAAAATATACAACCATACAGGGTGRTTTTTTTGACATGGATAACTAATGTGAWACAAGGTGTTCCCATTTTAAATTCTTGGTTAGGGACATTTTAACCTCGGACATTTTTACCAAGAACATTCTCGGTTTCAGACATTTTCACCGTGGACATTTTTTCCTYGGATAATTTTGTATAATACCAACCTGTCAGGATTGGTTAAAAAATAAAATAAATAATTTAAATGATTTGAAATTTTAAAGGCATATGATAAATTGATGATATTATATTCACTGGCCTAAGGGTGCTTCAGAAAAGTCAAAAACTCCGAGCTAGTCTATCATATATAATATAATATTATTATTATAATTATGGTGTATCTTTGATATTTTTAATAGCTATTATAACAACTTGTAAAATGCTTCAATTAAACTTACGAGCTTTTTGCTTGAGTAAAAACAGTTTTTATCGATGCGTATAATGTATAGTTTCAGAAAATAAAAACCAATATTTGATATTGTTAAATGTCTATAAATATCTCAAAAAGAGACGAAATATTTTTCAACTCTACCATGTATGAAAAATGCTCATGCAAACATATGGTGAGAATRTCAAAATAGGCGTTCGTTGATGAATTACATCATACAGAAAATCGATTTTTCAAAAACATTTTCGTAAAAATTCTTGTTTTATTTTTCCTAATTCTTTAGAAAAAGTGTTGGAATTTTTCACTTTTCACCCTTTAATGTACCGACTAGATAGATTCAGTTTCTTACCAGTAAAGTTGCTGAAGTTGAAACATTTCAACTGCTCCAATGGTTGATAAAATATTATGAAATAAAAACATTTTTATATTCTTAAATGTTTCTTAAGACAAAAATAAGATAACACAATGTCACAATATCATTGCAAAATATATTTAGTATAATATTATACATTCTTCATCTCTCCTCTCAAAATCTAAAATATTAAAACTGTTATTACGATTACAATTTTGTGTTCGTTCTACATAATTTTATGGATTATAACACAATTGTATTACATTGTTGTTTATTCTACTGCGTTATTCATTTGCCGTCTGATAGACAGAGACGAAGAAGAGATGCCTCTTCGACTTYTGACTGTTGAATATCTGTTTAATGTCTTTAACGGTAAGCCATTGTGTTCTTTGCAGTGAACCAAGCAAACGACAAGACTTAAAACCATTTATCGCAGTATTATTTCACTCACCCCGAGCACAATATTCAAAGGTTAATGTTCCGAAACAGAGCCCACGCGTATGGGGCCATTACGGTGTATTCGACTGTTGCTGCAGTGATGAGACAGTTATAAATTAATATACTAAATTATTCATCCGTGATGACCGTCTGAACGCATAAAAAGAATTTGATGCGATTATTTTATAATCGTATATAACTGTGTAATATCGTAKGTTAGGTATCTAATTATTCGAGTTGCTCAATTTTAAAATAATTCGTAAAGAATAATAATTATCTACGTGCTGCTTCGACGCAGTGGATTTTTTCTCTGTACGACCATGGCGATTATAGTCTTGACGTCGATATTATAAAGTCCGTACTTGGGCACAATACCTCTGCTCATTAGATAGGTCCACAGTAATTTTCAGTCGGGAGAAGTTAATTATYGTTTGCTTAAGTTTGCTTAGAGTGTCTCCTGGGACGAAATTATTACGTGGAATTTTGTGTCCATCGTACTACATTCCACCTTTTGTCATTTTAACTGCATTAATACCACATCGTTTATTCTTCTCGTAATAATTATTGCTCGTTTTACCTTTATCAACAACTAATGTTTACTTATATTTTCTACTAGTAATGATTGTCCACTAACTTTCTTCTGAACTCAAATAACTATGATCAAAATAGAACGTCGAACGAACATTAAAATATAGCAGCAATCTTATAGGGTACAGCTTTTGATCACTATGGTTTAAAATAAAAATTTAAAATCAAAGTCCAATGCAACCTATAACAATTAGTGTTCTGTTTCCTAAAAAAAAAACGGATCACACGACGAGACGTGAGAGTTTTTCCTTTAAAATATGTTTTTTAGCAAAAAATAGGTCACGTAAATTAGCCCTTTAAAACGATTTTTAGTTTCCAAGCTAGGTGCAGTCTCAATTAATGAGGACAATCGAGGTACTACTGTAGTTCTATTGATGAAAAATCATGGAAAAGAACATTGACAGACTGATAATGACTGACTTTATAGATCACTTATATCGACTTTACACACATTTATACGTGTTCCGTGTATTCAGTTTAGAATATCCAGTAGATTCACCAAGTTTTCTAATCCTCATTTTTTCACTATGAAAAATCTTGGCGAATGATCCTGTTTAACTGATTAATTTAAAGCTGAAAAATTGGACTCATAATATAATAATATTTAGTGGTATTATTGGCACCGTGCAAAACATCGTTTACCTCACAACATAGCACTCGTATTTTATATAATAATTTTTGTACTCRCAAAACGTATCGATAGATTTTGGCATAATATTATTAAGTGCGGCTACGACACCGAATGCCTAAATMAAAACGTACATAATTTACATATATTTTACATCTCTATATAGTATAATATTATAATATAACCACTTAAATCACGTACATTTTTTATTGATCCGATGAAAAAAAACAGCAACCGATATCAAACCGACTGAGTATAAAAATATATAAAATACGGCTTGCGCACACAAAAAATCGTGTTGTTAATGGCAATTATTCCGTGTTAGTGACTTCACGCACGGAAAATTATCGTCGTCGTTGTTTGTGTTATTTTATCAAAGTGTTTTCCGTTTATTTTTCACCATTAAACTTACTCATTTTTGCATTAATTCGGGTCTTATGTATACCGACACGCAAACGTAAAACTTATTATTGTTTACGGTTTTCTGTGTCTACGTACGACATATTACTTCTATAGCCATGCAGTCTGATGACCTCACTGTAAACTTTTCGTTAAAAACATTTTATTATTTCAGTGCGGTTTCCCGGTAGAAATCGTCGTGCGTTCGGCACAAGCCGATCAATACGTGCCTGTGAATATTTCATATGACCAGCGTTTATATTACGCCACACTATATAATATTGAGTATATTATTGTACATAAGTGTATATGTGATAGTAAAGTATAACATATATGTATATTTTTTGAGGTGATACATTTTTTTTTTCGGAGGGGGTGTATGGGATTTTTTACTATACTTAGACCACGTTTATATGGCAGTAAATACATATCTAATATATTACGGTTGGTTTATCATACCGAAGGAGTGCAATAAATATAGTTATAAGTTATAATATTATTGAACTATGTCAACGACATACATAATGCATGATGAGTGCACTGCAGGTGATCTGTTTACACGTGATCAGCGCACCCGCATCAATTTCGACCCCTATCGCATTTGGGACGAAGATGAAATTCGTTTTGGATATTATTTTTAGAACAGTAGCGTGATATTGACGCGTCGACGAGCGAATCCAAGTTTTATTTTRTTCAGATGWTTTTGGGATTTGTCTGCAATAGYTGTGACTGTAATATTATCAAAATTTTAACGAGATCTCGAGCGCAAAGTTCGAAATATCAAACTCCTCGATGTAAGAGCTTACGCAACAACCACCACACGTGTTTTATCCAACATTATATATATAGATGACATAAAAAATCGTATTCACTCAGCAGAATTAATTTTACGTTGTAACTTGTGAGGTTAATTACATTATATTATACAAATTTTACTTTTATTAAACTTAATGGTAATAGAACATTGTCCATTGGTTTTTTASGATAATCTAATTTTTAGGCAAATTATGAGCATTTTTAGAATGAAATATTTTAGATTCCCATAATTCGCTAAAAAATTGAAATACTATTATCTTACATAAATAATACACACAGACCTCTAAGAATTTATTCCATAAGAAGATTATTATTGAATTCAGTAAAATAGATAGGTAACCACTAAAATGATATTACGATATCAAAATGTCAACATAATAATGACATTATTTTAGAGTTGTTTTTAAATTATAAGAGTACATTGAAGCCTCTAAATATCGAAGACATCCTGTCGTCAAAATTTCGTCCACTATTTTGATGTGTCCGAGATTAAGAGATGTCCGTTGTGTATTATAGTAGAAGGTACATACATTACGTTTGGTAATGTTGTTTGAGATTTGAATCTTTATAAAARTGAAAAATAACAATATAGTCTTATCACTTATTTTTGCTTTTACCTGTATTTCAGTATTACACCTAACCGATAAAACGGCGTATTGAATAGGCAATTCAAACTATGGCATAATATTATTATAATACTGTAATCGATTTGAACGAAATCTGTTTAGTTAATATTAAGGATAATTGAAGTAATATTGATCGGCTAAATAAATTGATACATTTTAATTTCACTATGTWATACACATTTCCAGATGATGCGATTYTGTTATTAAAAACAAAATGAAATATTTTAATGKGTTTAGTTATTTTGATTCAGTGAACAACTTTAACTATAATTTATTTATCAAAAAAAGCGTGATATTATCTAATGAATAATATTTTACYACAAAAGGTATAACGATATTATTGTYGCATGATCTATAACAGACAAGACGAGTAATCTGAACCTGTCTTATCCCACAACCAGATAGATCTGTTGGAATAACCGTTTTATTAGGAAAATCRGTCGGTTTTGAATCCTTGTGATAATATATCAAATAAATAAAACATCTGCAGGTATGCATTTCGGTTGAAAAACAAATTGAGTTTCGACTGCGTCACGATAGGTAGTTTAAATATTGAACTTTCATACTTATAATTACTCATACAAATATATAAAATAAATAATCATCATTACTTTAAAATAATAAAATATATTAATGCGAAAATATAATATATGATAATAATAATAATATGTGGCGGTAAATAATTATGTTTTAACGGTTGATAAGATGTGTACACAAAAACAACAAGAACAACAGACTACCACTTGTCGGATACTTTTGTCATAAATTCGTACTATAACGATTATAATAACAGTTAAAGTATAATAAGTTATTATTAATTTTAGAAATTCGTAAACCGTACCACTATCGATATGAGTTGGGTACGATAGTTGAGCCAAAGAATTKACGAGTTTCTCTGTCGTCTTTAACCTMACCGTACTCGATTATACCTCGATGACGGTCATATTTTATTTTATARGCTCGTCGTTACTSTAATCGTTGAAATCRTGCGACCGCTCGACTTCCGGCGATCACTTGGTGGCTCCCGTTTTCAGGTACTCGTCCTTGAGCACGCGCCGCAAGATTTTTCCGGCCGCGCTCTTCGGAAGCGATTCGATGAACCGCACGCCAGCTGAKATCTGCTTGTACGGCGCCACCCGTTCCGCCACGAACGCCTTCACGTCTGCCTCGCTGGCAGCTGGCCTGTCCGAGTCGAGCACGACGTACGCCAGCGGTGCCTCGCCTGTCCTGTCATCCGGCACGCCGATGACAGCCGCATCCAGCACGGCCGGGTGGGTCCTCAGAATTCCTTCCAGCTCAGCCGGCGGAACCTGCAGGAAAATCGTGGAAARTCGTTTAAAATCGAACATATATTCCGTACACTAGATGTCGTGAAAATGTGTGGCTTTGATRATGCAAAGTTTACCTTGACGRTTTTCATATTATATCTCAACATATCGATGGCAACATTTTAATAGCAGCCTGCAATGGCTATTATTAGAGTCTCCTAACGATTTAATTATACGTATYGTAATCATCGTAACTTAGTTTTGGTTTAAAAATTATGTATAATAAAATCCTTGTGTAAGTCTCTAATAAGTCTGTTTTGATAATTTAATATTTGAAAGACATCTTTTGGCCAACAATTGATTTAAGCAATGAATTAGAAAAGATTTGAGAYTTATGAAAGATACGTACAAAATATATTATTTCAAATAAATAAAAGATGATCGGTAGACTTTTGGATGTAACATATTGATGCATTGTGATAAAATAATGAGATGGTCCGAGAGTGTGTGTCTCATCATTATTTATAACGATCTACTGCTGTTCGATTCGTTCATTATTTGTAACAACGTTTTTATTATTACTGTTTTTTTTTTTTTTTTTTTGTGGGGGGGGGATATGGGCAATGAAATACCTCTAGCATTCAGTCGATTATTATCGGCCAGTGTTGTATACATCGATTATTTTCGACATTAAGCGACTTCTCATCGCGGAATATAATATATATGTATATAGGTTCGTTTTTCGAAAGATAAAATGTTAAGAGGTTCTTTAGAACTATTATACCTGAATATTTTCTGTTGAAATATTTCATRAAAACAACCTAATGTCTTATACCGAGAACAATAAATTACTAGTGACTAGGTAGTGTACAAAATACTGCCAAATAAAATTTAACTGTAAAAATGTAAAAATTAACGTTTTTGTAATAATAACGTGTCATTGAGTTTAAACTATTTTTCCAAACAGAAGTTTTATATTCTAGGAAACAAATWATTAGCACTAGCATGCTTGTTTGACAGGTATTTGTATTTAAAAATAAATTTAAAGAGATAAAAGTTACAACGAAAGCAAATGYCAAGAAAARGTCAAAATTCGTCCTGCACAGACTGCTGTGATTGCGCTTTCCTTTAACACTGCAAAGCTAAAAAACGACAATTCACTTTTTGTAGTTGAATAAAATATTATATTAAATTCGTCTAACGAATTAATCTCGTGMAATTTTAAACGATACCTTCTATTTTWGTTTGGTAATAAAAAAGTATTTTCATCACCGATCGGGGGATGTCCTGAGACTACGGTTTGGATAAAATTCACGATCCCTTTACCCCCTCCCCCTCCCATCCACCCATAAATGGTGTTTGAAAAGGTGTTGTTGAATTAACCTGGTATCCTTGGACTTTTATCAACTCCTTAATGCGATCGACTATGAAGAATTCTTTTTGATCGTTATAGTAACCAATGTCACCGGTGCTCAGCCATCCGTCCGGACTTACAGTGTTGGCCGTGGCTTCGGGGTTGTTGTGGTAACCGATCATCACCTATAAAACATATTACACACACAAACTGATTAAGTTTGTTATAAACGATACCAATGTTTATCAGGTCCATAGTTGTTTGTTGAGCCGTTGTTAATGATTGTTATTATCACTCACCTGTGGGCCGTTGACCTGGATTTCTCCGATTTCRCCCGGACCGTATTCGACTGTGTTGTCCGTGGGGTCGACGACTTTGGCCATAGTGTTGGATATGGGAGGACCGACGGTTAAATAATCTGCAAATGAGGAATTCCTGGATACGAACACGGCTGGCGATGATTCTGTCATTCCGTACGCTGAGCATGTGCACAAACAATGATTTTTTTTAATGAATATTTTTTTTTAATGATAGGAATTTTTCAATTTAAAATTTAATTTTTGATGATATTTGATACAATGATGATTTTAATTCATCGTTAACGGTTGACTTGATATATTACTCATATGTACTCCTATAATCTTTATTTTGTTTTTAATCATACAAAACTAATAGCGAAAGTACTTAAATCTTCAAATAAATGATAAAAAGTGTATAAAATGTTTATATTTTTTTATTACAGATTGTTAATTTTTTTTTATAGTCAATAGAAGTTTGTTAGAAATCTCGACATTATTAATAGCGTTTTAAATTTGGTTTTCGCTTATATTTTATGCTAAATTGATACTTATTAGTTATTTTATTATGTCGTTATTTTTCAATTTGTTGTTTTCRTTTTAATATAATTATCAATTTAAGACTTAATACATATTGYATATAAATTATAATAAACATGATATGTTTATATTCTTATAAAATATCTAAGACGCTTAAACTGTTTTACAATACAATATTATATACACCTTGAAAGGATGTCTTATTTCAAATAAATAAATACCTAAGTAGATTTGATCACAATTAAAATGTTTTACCATGGTAACCTAGGTTAGGTTAGGTTAAATTTTGTACCTACGCATATTATAATTCATTTCCAACATAATRATACATATATATTATATATTATCTATACAACTATAATGCTAGTACATGATTAAATACATATAATTCTAATTGAGTAGGTATGTAATATTTAATGGATGTAAGTCTTTGAAGTTAGATTGAAGTTTTGGTAGCTAAGTAGAACTCTTAGAAGTTTAGGTAGTGTGCAAGAAATCTTGGAAGTTAATTAATTGAAATTTGGGTGTACATCAGACCTTATATAATTTTTTTTTATTGCTTTCTAATATTGATAAAGATCTTTATAATTTTATTATAATGGTTATGTATAATAAACTTTGATGTAAAAAATAAATGTTACTAATACACTTTTTAAAATAACTGTTTAATTACGGTTAACTTGCATGATAAGCATTAAAATTTMATTTTATGAAAAATAAAATTACGTTACCTTGACAAAAACGCACATTTTTGTTTTGGGTTCTGGCCAGTACTTTTTCGGCATCTGCTTCTTTCACGGGACCAGCGCCATTACAAATAGTTTTCAAACTTTGAAAGTGTTCATGTGTGACGTTTTTGTTTTGACCCAACAACAGCACTATTGGTGGTACTACGTATAATACAGTTGCCTAAAATACAATATCATAAAAATAAATTAAAAATGTTCCCGTCACGTACTCGACACAACAAAATCACACCTGTTGGTTTTTAAGTATGTTCAAAAAAAGGTCCGATTCGAGTTTGGGCAATGTTACCAATTTACATCCATAACTCAGCCCTTTCAGAAGAATCATTGTTAGACCGTAAATATGGTAAAAGGGTAAAATAGCCGGCAAAACTTCTTGAAAATTTGCTACAAAAAATAAATAAATAACATTAATAAATATTACTTGGGATTTACAATAATATACAAGAATTCTTGACGTAATCGTCTTTGTAGTGTTAAGCAATTTATTATCCATCACRATTTCTATAATGATGGATGTTTAAAGAATGTTTTTTATAAATTTATTTCAAATGCRTTAAATTGGTAGCTTTGTGTTTTGGGTCTGTGACACAACTAGAAATGCACTCGGCGTGCATATAAGTACAACAGACGATTAATCAGTTATGCCGAGTTRYRMTTTAGCCATTAAAAGTACCGTAATAGAGGTGACCGGTTGTTTTAAACGATTTAAACTTATAGCTTGTYTACGAAACAAATTTTTTTCTGAAAAAMTTCTGGGTGAAAACAAACCAGGGCCTGCAAAACAATAATATTAATTTCCCAAATCGTGGGAAATTTCGAAAGTCTTTGCAMTCTCGATCCCTCTACGTTTGCTAGTTTTTCTTCAACTCATTCCATCTARTATTGTTCAYGACAATGSCATTTCATCAATGTTATTGTTACTAGTTCTCGACTGCCTCTCCAAAATAATTGAACGGTTGTTATTTTATTTTTATTTTGAACTTCACAAGTCTTTTGATTTCGCGGTAATGTTTATAATCTTTTCGGACCTATAGAGGTATGGAATTTTTTGTTTTACGCTGAAGTTCTAACCATACGAATCAAGTGAACGTATAMACCCGATTTTTGAAKTTWAGTGTGATAAGAAAACTATACATGGAATAGTGATCGGTAATAATAAACYATTCATTCACATACCAACACAGCCCGGGTAGGTCTGATTTTCGTGATCGGTTATTATCATTTAATAATAATATTCTATACTATAGGATCTAAAGTGTAAAGGATTGTAATTTATAGGTAGGTAACGAGAAAAATTGAATAGTTTTCTAAAAAAAGTAAAARTAATATAAAATCATTAATACATTTTTTTAGGTATTTGATTCCATCAGGTTCCAACTATCATTGCAGTATTGCATGTGCATGTATAATAATATATTTAAAGTATATATAAATAATCCAACAATTTTAAAATAGGTATAGCAACAGCGATGTTTTTAGGTCGACGATTTAAATATTTTATGGTCTACAAATGTTTAAATATAAAGTGGGTTTTTATTTTTATAAGCAAACATTAGTAGAAAATATGTTTGCATATTATAATATTTATGATAAATTCATGGTTAGTAAAATGATGTAAAAAACCAATAATATTTTCCCTGATATCAAAATAAATTGATAGTTTTTCGTTTTTAAAAAACGTCATTCTGAGAAAATGTTAAAAAAGACATCAACWCAATTTCGGGTTCGCTTAAACAGGYTGTACAAATGATACAACACTGAGTCATGAATCATATTATTGTAATACCATTAATATATTATTTCTTAGAATTATAATTATTAAAACATACATTTTTGATTCAACCAATATTGTGTACCAACATTTTCTACYAAATTTGATTTCGTATCGTAAATTGAGAACCATTTTTAAATTAATTTGATACCGTAATCAAAATATTATGTACACTACACCTAACCTACTATTGAAAATAAAAAATAATTATCTCTATTATTTGTGGACATTCTATATTTTACAGTATTTGTGCATGTAAAAATAATTATATGATATACGACGCAATACATTATTATTTGAACAACAATTTCGATATTTTTAATTATTTTTTAATTGATTACCGAAAATCCGAGTGAATTTGTATTTGACATATTATTATATCTTTGATTGATGCGGTCACAAATTGTTCATTCCGAG